TAGAGTAACAATTTAGCACAATTATTTTTGCCAAATAATCAATTGACAATTGTGAATATAATAAAACATATCGCAATTAATTGGGAACATTGAAATTGTAAAGACAATGAAAACTATTCAAACAATTAAGAAAAAAGGTTTAAACTATTAATACAATCGTAGTAACAATTAACAGCAATCAAATACTATAATGAAAAGGTAATTTGATTTGCAATTAGTTAACAACAAAAAGCCAATGAAGTGATGATTACAATTGAATATATTCAATAAAGTAAATTGATTATCAACAAAGAAATGGTTACAGGTATCAATTGCATTTCCTGTGATTAAAGATGCAAATAGTCAGTGATTAGCATTTAAATTGTTTATCCCAACAGGTAAATCAGTTTCTCCAGGTGTGACAGGAAGGGAGAGAGAGAGAGAGACAACAATCAATGTTAACAATTAAGGGATCGTATCTAATGACAGGTAAATGATGTAAACTCAACAGCAACTTGAAAGTGAGTCCAAGGTAAAGCATATGAAAAGTATTGTCAATGTAAACCTAATACATTTTCACATATGTACTTTTATCCAATAATCATAATCATCATCATATTATGATTAATATTATGACTATAAATACGCCTTAGGCAAAGTTTAAGTGTGTATTCAATGACGATAATAGGATGAATAAGGTGAGAGATCATTTGAAAGAGAGAGAGAGAAAAGTGAATAAAAGGAAATCAGTTAAAGGTATTTAGCGGTATTTAACTTCTTGACAGGTTTCATTTTCTATTCTTTTCAATGGTTGTTTTCATCTTCATCCCCTTTTGTCATCATCATCTTCTTTTCATTCTCATCTTCTTCTGTGTTTTTCTCTTTCTTTTCTTTTCTTTCTCTCTCTCTCTCTCTCTCTCTCTCTCTTTCAAATTCTCAGGTGAGTAAACATGCATAGAGAAGCGCAAAGTGAACAAAAAAGTTGCTTCCATTGAAAGAAGTGGGTGGAAGATGATGATGATTCTGATCTTCATGGTGATGAGGATGCGGAAAAGATGATGATGATGTGATTGTTGCTTTTGTTGATCATTAACATTGGTAAATGATAATGAGACGATTAGTTAACTTAGTTTGATGATTTGTTTTTTTTTGCTTCTTCATGATTAGTTGAACAAAAGTTTTCTCTCAGCTGATTTAACCTACTTAACCTATTGGATTGCCTTTGATTAAGCAAATTAATTTTAATGATGATTAGTATCTGGATAATGATGATGATAATGATGATGATGATTATGCTTAAAGATGATTGAGTTGTTTCATCAAAAGGTTTCACAGCATTTTCAAAACAATGGGTTGAATGAAGAGGAGTGGAAGTGGGTGGAGCGGTGGGTATGATATTAATCATCTAATTGGATCAAACTGGATTCAACTAATTGGATATCATTAATTGTGTAATAACTTTTAATAAGCTCTATGATTTGACTAACATGATAATCAGTAGATGTAATCAAGATTATCACCTGAATATATTAGTTTACTTTTCTTCAACTGAGATTAAGTTTTTGTTTCCCTCTGATTGTTGTTTTGCCTTCAAAGGTAATTTACTAATTGTTAGGGAAAATATTATTCGCCATTCAACTAATTATTATCAATCATTTTCATCATCAACTAGTTAATTGTTAACCCTTTTCATCAAATACTAATCAATGGTTTAGTTACAATTCGCTGGTTGCTGCTTAGTAATTTAAAAGATTATAATCTTAATCAGTTGGATTAATTACTTAGAGAAAAAGTTTTTTATTCTTGGAAACATTTAATTGGACTAAAAGTTTATATCGAATTTGTTTTTCGAGTTATTTTTATGTTCTATTAATAATTTGGTTTTTCTTCACGATATCATGATGAATATCATGATGAAGATTTACCGTTTACTATGAAAAAGGATTAGTCAGTTTTGAATAATTGATTTAAATCTAATGGAAATGGATTAGGGTTGAAATAAAAATGGACCAAAATTTAAACCTTAAAAGCTTCTTAATGTTTGATTTTTAATAATTGATTCGATTGTTAATGAATAAGAGTAAATTTGTCTATCGAATTGATGTGAGGAAAAAAATTTAGAACAAAACAAAAAGTCGAACTTTTTTGTTCTCAATTTCGAAATAAAAATAAAGAAGATAAATGAAGATAAACAGTCTCTAAATAGGGATTAGTGAGAGAGAGAGAGAGAGAGAGAGAGAGATGAGGTTAGAGTAATTAATCCTAACATATTGGTTCATCATGAGATCTGATCAAAACCTCAACCGGATTAACTTTGCAAGATAAAGATGAAGATAAAGAAGATGAAAAAAAGGAAGATAAACTTTGGAATATGTTGTAATAATGTCGCAGTAAAAGTCATTCATCCTCACCCCTTGTCTCTATCTCTCCTTTCATCATCATCATCATCATCATCCCACTTTTTTATCTTTCCGTTTATTACTACAACTATTATCCCAAGAAACTATTGTCATCATAATCATCATCATCAACTAATCCTGTTGACAATGATAAGCATAATAATAATGGTAAATGATAATATCCCTTCAATAATATGATGATAACTTTTGATCCCAACAATTAAGTATTATGTTAATCACCCCACTAAATGGTAACAAAAAAAGTTACAAAGTTAACAACAAGGGATCAGATTAATTTTCTTGATTGTTAACTATTACATAAAGAACCAGGAAAAAAACCACAATTAAATTGATCATATTACACAGATAAAAAGAGTAAGAAAAAAAATCAAATGAAAATGAAAATGAAAATGAAAATCGAGAAGTGAAAAAAAAACAGAGAATTAGAACTTTTTTTCTGCAAATTCGATAACTCAAGTTAACGATTTTGATGAAACTTGAATTGCTTGTTAATCACTTTCATGCATGGGACAGCAATTAAATGGATACCAAATGTACCAAAGAGGATACAATTAGTGTAACAACAACAACAATTAGTAAATAATAAGAATGAAAATTGAACGGGTCTCGAAAATAATAGAACCAGGAAAAAATATCGACTTTCGACTTTTCGATTTACAATCAAAGTGTCCAAAGTTGAAGGTTATTATTGTCACGGTTGCTTTTCAAATTATAATCTCTATCATCATCCTTATCATCTTGATATTTATCCTCATCCTTTTAATATCTTTTGATGGTCCGTATCAAAAGAGATGAAGGTAAAAAAGATTCACAATGTTATGGGATTTTATTATTACCAATATAATGTAACAATAATATTCACATGATCAGGAAGATTATTATTGTTATTATAAACCATGAAACCTGTCTCGACTCACTCCTCATCTTCCTCATCACCATTATCATCCTCATCATCATCATCTTACTCTTTCTCTGCCACGTTACTCTCTCTCTCTCTCTCTCTCTGTGGATAACAACTTATGATCAATGGGACAGTTATTTTTTCATCTTCTCTCTCAAAATGTTGTTTTATTTTCTGTGGCTTTTAACTTCATCATCTTCATTATCCTCTCTAAATCAGCCTCGAAATGCAAATGTCCAAATTGTTACCGATTCGGTCTTCGTGTGGTTTGCTTAGTTAGAGAATGAGATGTTCAAAGTCTCGGAAAAATCAAATTTTTTTTCCATCTCTGAGGTGATAACTTTGGTTTCGAAATTGATTCTGAGTCGAATTTTATTTCATGATATAATATCTCGGAATCGTCATGAATTTAAATTAAATTTAGTATTGAGTTTAAATCAAGAGTTTCCAAATTCTTATTCAATTGAAATTTCATATTACTCAATTTATTTCAGATAAATTTCATCATGAGTTATATATTCACGAAATTCATGGTGTTGAAATTCATTGTTGCATAATAATAACAAGGAAAACTTTTTATCTAATACTGGACTTGATTGCCTGATGAATCAATTTTGAAATAAAATACTGATAAATAATGAAGATGGAACATCTTTACTTGTAATTAAGTTTAATTATAAACATTTCGATTTAATATTCATATTGCATTGAATCGGTTAGAACTTTTTTTATTCTATCGAAAAAACTCTATCCCCCTTTTGTTGATATACTTTTGATCATGATCATTATTTCATGAGGAAGGGGAAAAAGGAAATGGAATATGAAAAATGATAACTTAAAGGTATTGTTTTATATTGAATTTTATATTGAATTGGAAAAAAAGTTCTGTCATCATCTTAAGTTGCTTTTTACATTAAAAAAAAGAGAGTAAAAGTGAAGATAAAAGGATGAAGATGAAGAAAATGAAGAAAGGATAAGGTTACTTTCTTGTGGGTGGAGGAGGAAGAGGAAATGATGAGAGAATGAGAGAGATTGAGAAAGAAGAGTAAATGAAGATTGAGAAGAGAAAGCAAGTAGCCCAATTGAGGAGTTGAAGATGATAAAGAGAAATGGGAGAGAGAGAAGATGAGGCTTAAGAGTGTGGGTAAGATGATGAAAATGATGAAGATGAAGATGAAGAGGACGAAGTGTGTGTATGTGTAGTGGCGGTGGGAAGTTATCATTTGCTCTATAAAAATGAACAAGTAGGAAGAGGAGGAGGAAACTTAAGTTTCTCTTTTCTTTTTCAAGAGGAAAACCAAGAGAGAGAAGAGAAAAGTAACTAGAGAAAAAAAGAGCAAAGAAAGAGAAAAAAAAGTAACCACGCCTAAGAGAAGAACTCAATCCACCAATGGGAGTTGATAACCAGAAGATGAAAGAGAAGAAAGAGAAGAAAAGAAAGAAAAATGATGAAGATGAAGAAGAAGAAAAGTAAGTAACTGAATTAACTCAACCTCTTCTTCTGTGTTTCTCTCTTACAGAGTAAACTCGAGTCAGTCTGTTCCATCTTCCCACCTTCCCCTTCATCTTCATACTCATACTCATCTTCATCTTCATCTCTCTTTCTCTGTCTCTCTCTCTCTCTCCTCCAAATATACTGTCATCCTCTTTCTTTCTCCTCTTTCTCCTCTTTCTTTTCGAGAGACTTGGCAATAAAGTTGAACACAAGGAGTGTAGTCAAGTTACTCAACAGACTTTTTCTTGGGAGTCACTATTTTCTCAATACTCTCTTTCTTCATCTTCATCTTTATCATCCTTCTCTTTCTCTCTTATCATCATCATCATCCTCATCATCTCTCTCTCTCTCTCTCTCTCTTTCTCTGTCTCTCTCTAAGTTATTCACTTACTTTTCGACTTACAGAGTTACTTTTCAAGTCCGTTGTCAGTTCACTTCTTGTTGGCTTGTTACGAGCAGTTAGTTTACTTAGTTAACTACAATCAACTCTAGTTAATTGTATTGTATTGTAATCATCATAATCAACAACATCATCATTATTATCAACAACAGCGACAAACAATCAACCTCTTTCCTTTTTTTCTTAATGGTTAAACTTAATTACCTTTTTTCTTTTAAATTGTTAATCGTAAATTTTAACCTTCGAAAACTTTTCTCCTAATTGTTACAACTTTCGAAACGCTTTTTTTTTGTTCTCTTTCTGTTGTTCATGATTAACTTTTCCTTGTTGATTGTTAAACTTTCCCAAACTAATTAAGATTGTTCATCATCAGTTATGAGATTATGACTGTTAATTACAATTAGATTGACAATCAACCGACAATCAAAGTTGTTGTTGAGAATTTGTTGATTCCAAAAATCTTTTCTTCTTTTTTTTGTATAATCGAATTTAAAATTTTGTTCTTTTTCTTTTGGACTTTATCGTCGATCTCCCACCAAATCAAATGGATAATAATGAAATTACTCGTTTAGATTCACCTTTATCATCTTCGAAGGCCTCACCCATTTCATCGCCCGTGTCCATGATGTCACCCAACTCATCGAACCCATCGACTCCACCTCAATCAGCGACAGGATTTTCTGACCCTGATTGTGGCCTACCCTCTAGTCTATCACCTACAGCGACACCCACCTCATCATCATCATCACAACCTCAACAGCAACAACAACAGAATCACCATCATACCCATCATCATGTAGTACCAATGGACGTATCATCCTCATCCGCTCAAACAAATTTAACAATTAATGGATCTTCATCTTCATCCTCATCCTCATCTTCTTCCTCCTCTGGTCTACCACCAACAAATGGATCAACCGGATTGATATCCGGCTCAATCCATGGTTGTTCATCTCATCCACTCCTTCACCCTGGGCATCCACTTCATCCCCACCATCACCATCAATCCAACAATAATAATAATAATCAAACCAATAATAGTAACAATAATAATAATAGTAATGGTCAACCTCCTCCATCAGGTCATCATCCCTCATCATCCTCATCCTCATCCTCTTCATCTTCCTCATCTTCATCACCCTATTCAACAGCTAGTCACCAGCATCACGTTAACTCATCAACACCTTCCTCTTCATCATCAACAACAACAACCACCGCCGCAGCAGCAGCCGCAGCCGCAGCGGGTCTATTTCATCCCTCTATGAGATCAGTTTATCCTTCACTTTTCACCTCAGTGTCACTCACCAATCCAGGGAAAGATTCATTTGTCCCAAATTCACCAATGTGTGTACCTCTCTCAGCCTTTTATGGTTCCGCTTTTGGACCCACATCAACAAGTTACGGTGCCAATAATCCACTTTTAAATGCCCACCGAACCGCTGCCGTAGCCGCTCATCATTTATCATCATCACCGGCTCACCATGCATATGCTACCCAAATGAATCTATTCAACAATTATCTCGCTCATGCAGGTAAGTCCATTAATACACTTTCAATATTTAAACCATCAAACAATAACAACAGCAAATGATTAATGATATTAAACATCAACAAGAAAAAAAGATCCCCAACAATTACAAAGTCTCAGCGTTGAAAGATAATTCAATTGAAATTACTTGGTGATGATGATGATAATGATAATCATTATTATCTATTCATTATCTAATCATAACAGTACATATTCATCATCATCTTAATTGTCTTGTTCCCTTCATGTAGTTAAAAGTTTTCACCCTTCCCAACCCACTTCACTTAACCCACTCCGAGAAAAACTCCTTAGCATGTTTAAAGTTTAAATCGATCATTTTTTCAATGGAAATACAGAGAGAGAGAGAGAGAGAGAGAGAAACAACTAATGTAATCTAATAGTCGCAGTTTAATATCGACAATTTAACTTATCATCATCATCATCATCTTGTTAAAAGCCGTGTTAAATGATTTAGTTAAAAGATGATGAAGATGAAGATGAAGATGAGGATGAAATACAAATCATTGGTTCGGATCAATGAGATCGAGATTTTCAAATGATGAAGAAAAAAAAAGTTTATCCTTCTCTTGTTGATATTATTGTATTGTAACTGCTACTCTTTTACTCCTCATCACTTTCATCATTTATTTCATTTGCTTCATCATCTTGATCAGATGATGATGATGATGATAATAATGATAATAATCATCTCTTTGCGCTCTAAATACTAAGTAAATAAAATTTAGAATCAAACTTTTTTTCTGCTCATCTTCATGGTGACTTCACATTTCCAATGTTACATGATATTTATTATTATCAATATTCAACTCTCTTTCATAATCATTATCATCTTACTATGTTGATCAATGTTTCTTTATCATCTCATTGTTATTAAATTAGTTAATAAATTGATTGTTATCAAAAAGTTAAATAATAATTTTCTTCAACTATTGATCATTTTGATATAACTTTCCAGACGAAAAGAGATTAACTTGAATAGGAAATTGTTTCCATCATTGTGTCTTATTGATTTAATTGCTCAAGTTAATCTGTTAATAATCATGGACATTTAATATCAAGTCGAACTATTAGATTAGAACTTTTCAAGTTCGATAACTGAATAAAAAAGACCAAGAGAAACTTTGAAAGACTCATTTTCCATTCTCAATGTGTAATCTTATATTTCTGATCAATTGTTGTTGTTGGTGTTAAATAACAATCAACAAACAACATATATATGATTACATTGATCACTCCCTTGGTAGAGTGAGCAAATTTCAATGGATTCAACTATCATGATGATCATGAGATTGACCAATGAACCAATGTCAATGTAAAAGATAATGTTGATCATAACATGAGCTTTGAAAATACATATGAAAATTGATGCTACTTAATATTTATATTACTTTGTTTTTGATTATGATTACTACTTTTTGAATACTCTTGATGGTAATGATAATGTTTATGATGATGATAAGATAAATGTAAAGTGTTCCAACTGAATAATAACAATAATAATAATGATAATCATGGTGATAAACACATTATGATAACAAGAAACTTGAGATAAAATTTTACACTCGAAATGTTATCCATCAGAAACTCTGAAAGGGATGAAAAACATGATGATGATGATGATGATGATAAGGATTAGGAAGAGAATGATCATTTTTCTTCATCTTTTTCTTTCTTCAGACAAAATTCTCAGTTCTCATGGTGAGTGGAATAAGATGGGTAGAAATTCAAAGTGAATATGGAACTTTTTCTCTCTCTCTATTAAAATGATACTTGAAAATGGAAACTTTTCCTTTTCTCTATTCTGATAATCTTGATGAGGAAGAAGTAAAAATTGTGGGTGGGAAGGATGAAGAGGAGGAGGTTCAGTGGGATGATAAGTAACATTTTGACTTTGATTGTGTGTCAAGTGTGTTGAATTTGAAGTGAGCCAAGAGAAGATTGAAAATGATGGTGAAAGGATGAATATGTTATAATACATGATGAAATTTGATTCTCTTGTTATTTTAACCCACAGGCAACATAATCTCATCAATGTCACTTCAATTTTATCCAATTTAAAGCTTTGACTTTTGTATATTACAAACCCTTTTAGCATCCTCATCCTTTATCCAAAACGATCTATACATTTATCATCATCATCATCTTCATCTTCTTACTTTTCTTACCTTGAACCATTAACCTTTTGATAGCGAAAACTTTATCTGATAAAACTGATCACTCTATTAACTGAACAACTTATGATATCCAATATTCAATTAATTGACCATAAATGACCAGTAAGATATGGTCATTAGCTTTATCTTTCCCATCATCTTCTTCTCTCTCTCTCTCACTCACTATGACTCCTTCAAGCCTCATTCATTAGTATCTTTGTGACACCCGTGGTCACTTTAATTTACCTACAAACTTACCTGTAAGTTGAGAGAGTTAGTCTAAATTAACAATTTCTAAATCAGTTTATTATGGATCCTGTTTACTTGAATAGTAAAATTAACCAACTTAGTTCTTACCACAGGTAACTTTTCAACTAGAATTCAGTTATTATATTAGTTCAATATATTGACTTTCAGTTTATTTTGATAACGAGGATTGTATTAGTATATATACAGCTGCGAATATGCAAATATTAAGTTTCATCCGCATCTTCATTTTCATCTCCATCCTCATCTTTGTCTACGTGTTGTAAACAAAAGTTTGAATTGCTTTCAACCCGCTTGGATCTTTGACCATAAGATAAACAAACTTTAAGATTCGCGTGTCAACCGCATACCCACCCCACTCCAATACCACCCACTCTCAGACCATTATACTAACACACACTCGGCGGTGGACAGATTGTTTTTACCACTCTGACTCTCTCTCTCTCTCTCTCTCTCTCTTGTATTGATAGTTGATATTTGCTCAACTGAAAACTTAACTGTTTCAATACCCAAAGTTGATTGTATTTAAATCTGAAAGTATCAACTAAATAAACAATCATATAATTAACCTATTGTTGTGATTGTTGTTGTTGTGTCGATTGTCAAGTTAATTGTATTGTTACACATTTGATTTTATATCTGTAAATTATTTATTTATTGTTTGAATTGAGTTAATATGATTCTCATTTCAATTGAAATACCATTTTAATAGTTTTATATTTTCATTAACATAATTTATTAACTTTTATTATCAAATGGTGTTAATAGGATTGTCAATGTAATTGTTATTTTTATGTTAACATTTGATTGATCTCTTGTGATTAACTGTTAATGATTCAAATTTCATTCAAATTTAAGGATTTTCTTACAATATAATGACAATTTTATCTGATAATCAGTTAATTCAATGATTATTTTTCATTGAAAATTACACATTTGATGGTTAAATTAGTGAGATAAATGATAATGACGATCATTGAAAATAGATCATCTCATTTTCTGGAAATAATTAAAATGATAGATTCTAAATGATGATTACATTGTGATGATTAAAGATCGCGGGATAAATGATGATGATTATTAATATTTATAGAAGAATTTGATTGTTGTAATTACGTTGGAATTGTTTCAATGATTAACTGTTCGATTTAACTAATTGTAATCATCTTCCTCTTTTGTTTCATCTTCTTCATCCTCATCCCATCTTCCTTGATATTAGGACGTTCATGGATGGGAGTTTCATCTGATGATGCTAAGAATGGTGGAGGAGGTGAAGGTGGAGGAAGAGGAGGAGGAGGAGGAGGAAGTATAGTGGGTGGTGGGAGTGGAAGTGGTAATATATCACCAACAACTTATCGAAATTTATCTTCCAGTTATCAGAATCATTTGAAATCAACTTTTCTCTCTCTGTGTAATAATCCATCAGCTGCGATCGCCGCTGCAGCAGCGATTAACAATTTAAATGCTTCGGTAATGAATTCAGTTCATAATTCCAATGGTGGAAACTCAGAGAGAGGTGAAAGTGTGGAGACAAATGATTATGAGGATGAGGGAAGAAGATCATCATCAGGGGGTGGAGAGAGTGGATGTGGAGGAGGAAGAAGAAGACGAAGAGTAAGTGAGAGAGATGAAGAGACAATCTCATCAGGAAACGGAAATGTTGATCTGGGTGGAGGTGTAAATAGATATTCAAATTCAAATCAAAATCCTAATAACATAATTGTAAACTTAGGCTGCAATACAAATCATAATCACTCAAATCATTACAATTCAGAGTCAACAACAACAATTAACATAAGCAGAGGATCAACTTCATCACCAAATTATTATTACAATCATCATGTTCATCCAAATAACAGTAAGATTATTATTAAGATTCAATTTTTTTTCTGAGTAAATCAACTGAATGAAAAACAATCAGGGTGAATGATGAAGTGAAACAATCAATAGGTAATCAATTGATTTCTAGCAATGAGAAGGATGAAAATTTTTATTCAATGAGAAGTTGTATTAATGAATGAAATTGGTGTTCAATGGGTTATGTTACTCACTCGATTCTCTTGGGACTTTATTTGTGTCTCTCCATTTATTCACCTTCGACTTTAATTGTTTTACTGTTTCGTCCTCATTATTTGCGTGTCCAGTTACCGTCTTATTCTTTGACGGTAATTTGACGGAATAGAGGAATATTAGAAACGGAGTTAATCTCTTTCTGTATAAGGTCATCTTCCGCTCTTTTGGGCAATGTTTTGAGACTTTCTTTCTCTTCGACTTACTAAGTTACCTTTGCTCTTGTCACTCTATCATCATTATCATCATTTCTCTATCTCTTTCTTTCTCTCTCTCACTCACTCACTCTTTCTTTCTTTCTTTTAGCTTCCTTTGTTTCTCTCTGTATGATCAGTTAGTAACTTAATTGCTTCGTTACTCTACTTTACAATCAACAATATATTCAATTGTTCAAGTATATGTTTACTGTTATCATCTGTTGTCATCTCGTCATAAAAAAACAACATGATGATTATGTTCATTACGATTAATGATCTTTACTTAAATTCAACAACTAATTAATTGTTTCTCTTTTTTTCTGTTTACTTTCGCGTGAATAACAATAATCTGGTTTATCCGTTATTTCTCAACATTTCACTTGGAATTCATCTCGTTACCTGTGAACTTCAACCTGTGCTCACCTTTATTTTCAATTCGTTACTTACACCAACTCTTTCAATGTCTTTTTTCAATAACTTTTATCAACTTCATCCTGCTCATCATCATCATCCAGGTAAAATAGACTTTCTCTTTCTCTTTTCTCTTTTCCATTTCCATTTCCTTTTCCATCATCGTCATGGTCATCATCATCTCTTTGTTTCTCTCTTTACTCTTGTCCATTCAGCTCTAGCTCGACCTTGGTCATGTCCACGATCACCTAATCAACCATTGAAGTGTCCACTGTGTTTCATGTCACTTGAAGGAGGTGATGTTACCTCTCATTTCGAGGAGGAGGTGAAACAATTAGAGAACCTGAGAAGGTAAATTTCATAATAAACTAAATTTTCATTTGATTTTTTAACAATCTCTAATAAGCTATTGAGATATTGTATTAAATCAGTGGTCACTCATTTTCCTTTCAGATGCTATTTACTTGATCTCTATCAGAGTAAATCAACTCATAAAAAACTTTCCAATAGTTTCTTGTTTGTCCTTTGATTTAAACCTAGAAACTTAATCATTAATAACTATTTTTATAACTAATTTAACAGTCATATTAACGAATGGGAATCAAAAGAAAATAATTTAAATGATGTTGACGTAATCAAAAAGGAGATTAGTGATAATATACCTGGTGATCCATTCAAAAGATCAAGATTACATTCAGATAACAATAATATCAATAAGATTCCTCCATGTACAAGATGGCAGGTAAGTTAATCACTTTGTCTTATTTTCCTGTTAATCTAATCAATTGATTGTTATTATTATCTCTCTCTAATTATCCAATCAATCAGACATATCAAAGAGTTAAGCAAAATCGTCACACTCGAATATCGGGAATTCTAAGGACTAAAAGATACGATGAGAAGATAAAATTGGAAGATGTTTGTGCATCATCTTCATCCTCATCTTCAATTCTCTCTCTTTCCTCATCATCCGCTTCTTCAACTCCCACCACCGCCACGACCATTTGTAAGCCCGTTAATCGAGGGATTTGGACAATCGTTGATAATCATGTGCAAACTTCCGGTTCTTAGATAATATTAGTTACTTTCAATTCAATTTCCTCTTTTCTCACTTTAACTCATCAAGTCCAAAATCTCATCCAATTGATAAACAATTAAATTTGTAATATTTAAAATCATCAATTTGATGATAGACAAAACAAAAGATAATCAGATTATCAGCATATTCCTAATTCTGACTGAGTCATGTGTCCAGTTTCATCTTCAATTGGTCACTCATCTTCATATACTCATGGTGAATCTTCATCGTCATCATCAACTAAATTGCTACCAACTTTAACTCGGTTCTCAACATATTGACGATTATTATTATTATTACTATTAACTGTTACCCCTTCAACTATTAATTATCATGATTAACTGTAAATATTTAGATTGATCAACTGACCATTTCCTTTTTTGCCAAAATAATTAAAACTTTGGCTGAAACTTTCAATCGTAACAAACTTTCATTGTAATAATTACATGAAAAAAAAACACTAATTGATTGATTAAAAAAAAGATTAATTAATAAAATGGAAAATTTTAAGTTGATAAAAAGTTTCAGTTGACTAATTACAATTGAATATGGATCAAGTGTTACTGAGATTAACGGATAACAGAAAAGTAACTTTGTAATCCGATAGATTTTAAAATGATGAGATGTTGAATAGAAAAGCGGAAGATGACCAGATGACCAGAGAGAGAGAGAGAGAGAGAGAGAGAAGGATTAGCTTTGATTTTCTCTTTTGTTCTAACCGTCAAAGGATTGGAGGGTCAACCGGAAGGTCAAGGTGACATTCAAAGAATTAAAAACAATGGTATTAGATTTTAAGCCTTTTGTGGTAACATGAATTGTAAAAATGTTTCAATGAATAGTAAACAATTTAAATAACTGGTCAGTTGCCAAATTTAAGTAACTTTTCAGGTTTTGTCACCTTCATTTTAACGTATAAACCAGATTATTGTTATTCACGCGAAAGTAAACAGAAAAAAAAGAGAAACAATTAATTAGTTGTTGAATTTAAGTAAAGATCATTAATCGTAATGAACATAATCATCATGTTGTTTTTTTTATGACGAGATGACAACAGATGATAACAGTAAACATATACTTGAACAATTGAATATATTGTTGATTGTAAAGTAGAGTAACGAAGCAATTAAGTTACTAACTGATCATACAGAGAGAAACAAAGGAAGCTAAAAGAAAGAAAGAAAGAGTGAGTGAGCGAGAGAGAGAGAGAGAGAGAACGAGAGAGAAGGAGAGAAGGAGAGAGAAAGAGATGATGATGATGATGATAAAGTGACAAGAGCAAAGGTAACTTTGTAAGTCGAAAAGAAAGAAATTGTTGACCAAAAGAGCGGAAGATGACCTTATATACAAAGAAAGAGATTAACTCCGTTTCTATTATTTCTTTATTCCGTCAAAGAATAAGACGGTAACTGGACACGCAAATAATGAGGACGAAGCAGTAAAACAATTGAAGTCGAAGGTGAATAAATAGAGAGACACAAATAAAGCCCCGAGAGATTTTAGTGAATGAACCATAAACCATTAAACGCGGAATTCATTATCTCAAGGGATCTGACATTTTCTTCATCATCTTCGTCTTCTTCTTCTCTTCTTCTTCTCTTCTTCTTCTTTTCTACCTTGTCTTCATCATCATTACCCTCCTTTTATTCATAGAGATCTTTTCTCGATTTACCAACATTTCACTTGGAATTCATCTCGTTACCTGTGAACTTCAACCTGTGCTCACCTTTATTTTCAATTCGTTACTTACACCAACTCTTTCAATGTCTTTTTTCAATAACTTTTATCAACTTCATCCTGCTCATCATCATCATCCAGGTAAAATAGACTTTTCTCTTTCTTTTTCTCTTTCTATTTTCTATTTCCTTTTCCATCATCGTCATGGTCATCACCGTCTCTTTGTTTCTCTCTTTACTCTTGTCCATTCAGCTCTAGCTCGACCTTGGTCATGTCCACGATCACCTAATCAACCATTAAAGTGTCCACTGTGTTTCATGTCACTTGAAGGAGGTGATGTTACCTCTCATTTCGAGGAAGAAGTGAATCAGTTAGAAACCCTGAGAAGGTAAATTTACATATTCGATTAATTTAAATACATTTGATTCGATAACAACCTAAACCCACAAACTAAATCTATTAACACTTATTTCTAATAATCTAATTAAACAGTCACATTAATGAATGGGAACTAAAAGAAAACAGTTTAAATGATGTTGACGTAATCAAAAAGGAGATTAGTGATAATATACCTGGTGATCCATTCAAAAGATCAAGATTACATTCAGATAACAATAATATCAATATTCCCCCGTGCTCAAGGTGGCAGGTAAGTTAATCACTTTGTCTTATTTTCCTGTTAATCTAATCAATTGATTGTTATTATTATCTCTCTCTAATTATCCAATCAATCAGACATATCAAAGAGTTAAACAAAATCGTCACACTCGAATATCGGGAATTCTAAGGACCAATAGATACGACGAGAAATTAAAACGAGACGAACCTTGTCCTCCATCTTCATCTTCATCTCTATCATCAATGTTTTCTCTATGTTCATCCCCTATTTCCTCTTCCTATTCTTCCTCATCCTCATCATCTTCTTCATCCTCATCTTCTTTTTCCTCATCATCCTCATCGACTCCAACTCCAACTCCAACTCCAGCGATGACATCATGCAAACCCGTTACTCGAGGTATCTGGACAATCGTTGATAATCATATGCAAACGGAACGATAAGTTTGTCCAAAAGTTTAAATTGTTACTTTTGATTTTCCTTGTAATCAACTCGATCTCTTTTATTAACAATTAACTGCCATTAATCAATTTTGCAGCAAAAAAAAGTTAACCCCTAATTGTAATTTTAAATAGAAATCAAAATAAATAATTAGTAACAATCAAAAACAAGAATCATTAATACTTAAGTTTTATACTCCAACTGATCAATGAGATGGTCAATGTCTCTCACTATATAAGTTAAACTCACTGAGAAAAATATTATTTGTATTGACCATCAGATGATGACCATTGGATTGTGGTCAAGAAAAGTATGCTCATGGTGATAATGATGATGATGAGTTAACTGGACTTTTCTGGTAGATAAAAATATTCAACTTGACCAGAATATGAATGTAGCAAAGTGGAAAGAAATGACCAGTGATCAACGTTAGTATACTGACCAATGTGTTGTTATTTGTATTTAGTAAATGTGATAACTTGAGATTTTTTTTTCTCTCTTATTGTCCATTCCAACACTGGTCAGTCATCATCATCATCATAATATCAAAGAAAAAAAGTTGCTTAACTGGACACAACTTAGAAAGTTGTGATAATATTATAAAGGTTAGTTTGTTATTCGGATCATATTTGCTTCCCTATTGTTCATATTCTTGACCAACTGGACATTTACTAAAAAAATCCAAGATAACATTTGATTCCTATTCTTACTCACTGAGCATTAACATCCAAGACTCTCGAGACTGACCACATAATCATAGTCAACAATCATTATGATAATACAACTGAATAGATATTCACACCAATTAATTGATTGTTAATCTTTAAAACCATTTAAACAACAACAATCAGTAATTAAACTCAGGGATTGAATTGCTATCTGATAAAATAAATCAAGAGATTTGAACAAGATGAATTGATAGAAATGAAATAAATTGTATTTTCATGGTAAATATTATATCCATGATTGGATGAGAGAGACCATGAAGATAAGGAGGAGTGAGTAGGATGATAAATACAAATGAATGAGGATCATTGAAGATATATATTCATTACTCTTGAGGCGGAGGAAGATGAAGATAAGAAAGACAAAGTAAATCCTATGGATCAAAATGGTTCAACATTTGAACATATTGCCATGCAAATTGTACTGATAATACCATGGGGATGATGAAGATGATGAAGATAAACACGTAACTGTTACAATAACGTTGGAAGATAAGATATTAGGAGGGAGATGAAACAATCTCCAATTGACTAACATTTATCTTGTTTCTAAATTTATCTAAACGGTTGATAAATAATGATTATAATAATATCCAACTAATCAGTTATACTTTTCAAGTCCCAATACGATTAACTCAAAGCTTTACTTCAATTTTCACTCCCACTTATTGTTTGTCTCTCCGATCAGCTTATCATTTTCATCCTCATCTTCATCCTCTGGTTAAAACCACCACATGGTTAACACCATTGATTGTGAGGGTCACACAGTATAAAAGTCTAAACCTTTTTTTGTAGCTCATTTATCACAAGTAGACACACACACACATAACCACCTCATCATCATCATCATCATCCTTCTCATCCTCCCTCTTCTTCATCTTCTAACAAGAGCAATAATTTATTGTCCGAGTTTAAGAGATGAACCACAAAAGGCCTGATTGTTACACGCGTCGACAGTCACATTACCAAGTCGAAGGAGGGAGTTCGAAGAAGATGGAGAAAGAGAAAAAAGAAACAGTATTCTCTCTCCACCTCTCTCTCTCTCTCTCTCTATCAGAACGATCATAATTTTCTCCCGCGCGATCATCATCTCTCTCCATTCGATATGATAAGCAAATCGAAGCATAGCCAATAACCAAGGGCAAGAATCTCACTCGAGGATTTAATGTTAAGATTATGATGTAATAGCCAATTTCCACCCTCAATATCATCCTGCCCTCTCTCATCTCTCTCTCTCTCTTTCTCTCTCTTTCTTGCTCTCTGCTTTTGATCCATCAAATATATTGTGACAATTTTATCGCAACAAATACACACAATTATTAACCACTAATCACAAGCAGATTTTGTGGTCTGTATCGATAAGATAATACAAAGATTTTTAAATTGTTATCGGTAAGAAAAATTAACATGTTAACATTAAATCAACAAAATGAAACAATCATGAGGCGATTGGTGATTACTCTAGTAAGTGAGAAGGAGAGAAAGAGTAACAGTTGCAAATTGTAAACAATTAACTAATCAAAAGTAAACGATAAAAGAAACATCAACAACATTCACCTTTGTATCATTAGTTACTGTTCATTTGTTACCTCGCCTCAAATTATCATTGATAAAAAAAAGGAGTCATGATAACAATAAAAGGCACTTAGTAAAATCAACTCCCCCAGAGGAAAATAATATTTACCTGGAAAATGTTTTTCCTCTTCCTCCCATAGACATTAGTTGATTATCATTGATACAGTTTAACAAAACATTTTTCACAAACTCAACCAACCTTTAAATTGTAATAAGAGGACGTAACGATAACGACGATAACAATGGAAAAGCATATTCATCATCATCATCAGCATTTCTCTCTCTCTCTATGTTCCTATTGTTCAAAGGTGTGACTGATTCCCTTGTACCATTGAATACCCTCGACTCTCGACATGTTGCCCAAGAAATAAAAAAATCATTCGCGTCGAAAACTCGAGAGATGAACAACAAAAGTAAAACCATCTCGTTGACTCTTCGACCACATATAAACACTAACAACACACATCGGCACTTCGGCACTTCTAAATATCGACATTAAGAGAGCAAAAAAAAGACCATCAGACCCCCAAGAGGAAGAGAAACTTTCGATCAAAAGTTATCAATGAATATTAAGAGAAGAAGAGAAAAGAAAACTTTTTTTTCTCAATAGGATTCGAAAGATCAAAAAATCGAAAATGTTTTAATACCATTATACTTATAATATTATCTCTCTCTCTCTCTTTTATATTATCATTCCCTCTCATGAATAATATAAATCAAGCTTGTTAGGCTGTTGATGATCAACATCATCTTGATCCTCATCATTTTGACTCTCAATGGTTAACAACAAACCTTTTCAAATAGTAACAATGATCATAATAATAATAACCAATGATGATAATTTAATATCGTTCAACTGTGAAATTTGGTTTCGTCTTTTTTTTATATTCGTGATTTGGCCTAAACACCAATTGACATTTTACTATTGACCAATTATACGGTGATTCCATATATGTGACAGGACTCAATGTTGTTGTTGTTTTTCTTGTTGTTGTGTATCATTGATCAACATATTCAAGGGTATTCACAGGGTATTCAATTGTAAGTATATATACAAAATGATTGCAACCTCTTCATCTGATAAAACGTTAAACTTTTCAATGGCTTTCAAGTTATTATGTTTCATTGTTATTATTAATCATTCATCAGCTTTTATTTTTTAAAGAGGAGGAATTAGTTTTATCATCATCATCATCATTGTTATTGATTATGATGGATTCTTGACATTATTAAAAAAAGGTAATAGGTTATCAATACTCATCCGGTGGTTGGATTTTTCTCTCTGTATTTATCCCACCGGTGGTTAAGAGGCTTTTAGATTAGCTGAGAATCGGTTTATACACTTGAAATTTTGTGTTTTTTCTCGGTCCAATCAAAATTGATCAAAATTTGTCATCATTATCATCATCACTTTGCCTACGGGTTTGTGGCTGGTGTGACTTTCGATAACAATAAGTGGCCTCAAAACGGATTTTTTGTCATGACCACTCGATTCGAGGATCACAAGTTTATCCTCGATCTCGAGGTTAATCATCTAGACTTAATTGTCGAGGGTTAAAAATTGTAACAGGCAATTTATACGTTTGATTTGATATTTGATTCCATGATGGGTTATATCATAATCATCATCAATCTAATTGTTACCATTTTTTCGTGTTGATTGTATTATTATAATCATTAATTTTTCCTTCACTTTGATTTATACAACAATTAACGTGTCAC